CAAGACGTATAATGAATGGACACGCATAGTACGAAATGAAAATCGATCAAAATTACCTGATACATATACACCTCGAGAAAAGGTGGATACGAGTGACCATGTATCATTTTGTCATCATCTTTCTCTCTTTCTTCAACACATGCAATCGAAACCCGTGTAGTAGATATGCTTTTCGTAAGCGTCTCATACATATGTAATACAGTTGATACAAAAGTCGATTGAATCACTAGACTGAACATCGAATTTTCTTTTGAAAATAAGAGACCGAACGAAAATCAGTTCAAGCAGAAGTCTAGTTTTCAATATGTAGATTTTGGTTGCACAGAAGAATGTTTATGCGTGCGATCCGCATGAGGATCTGAGGACATAAATTGCAGGTGTAACTGCTATCTTCACATTCTATTCTGCTATTCGATATTGTCTTCGTTCTAAAGGTTCTCTAGTTATTTCAACAATGTAAAGCTTGTGTTATCAACTACAGAATTGTCATCTTCGTTAGAACTCGAGCAAGTACGTCAGCTATGTTATCATTATGCAGACATTTTTCAGATGCGGAACTCTCTGAGATACGGCTGGAGACATTTTCTATCAAAATATAATATAGTGCCTTTCAGGTAAATAAAGTCTCTGAAAATACTCAATTAGGAAAAATCTGCTTTGTTGAGAAAATCGAACATCCGTATCGCATGATTGTAATTTAATATATTACTGCTTTGTTTCCACAATAAACGCAGGACAATGAGGGTATTTCGATCGGTACGCTTCAATAAATCTATCCATTGTTTGTAGTCTTTATATCAGCAAAGATAATACGTACAGAGATGCAAAAATGATGTCACTATAGGAAAGAGAGACGAGCTGATGAAATACTGTTGTTACAAATTGCATGTAATTATTGATTTTGTTCATGTCACGTCTTGATAAGAAATAAAAGATCTTGAAAAAGTATCTTTATTTCAAGAAGAAATGAATATCAACAGAGGAAAGGAAAGAGAGAGAACACGGGAGAAATATACATACATATATGCATATCACGACAGCTATATATATGTCGTAGGCCAATGTAAGATTCAGGCCAATCCAGGATTAGCCTAGGCTATTCTCAGATCCTGGTTTGGCCTGGTTTGAACTAGGATTAACTTAAAATTTTGGATCAAAACTCATTTTTTTGCCTGAAGTCAATGGCAGATTACACATCAAATAGTTTTAAGGTTTCATGATATACTACCATTATCTATATTAGCGAGTTTCATATCACTGTGAGGTTCACGGAAGATGTTATAAGCGTTGACTTGTGAACGTACAAGTTCTGCAGAAAACTGCCGATAACTTTTTAACTAAACAATTTTGTGTCGGAATCGATAGTATACATCGAAAATATATCTACTTAGCTACAGCATTCGAATAGTGAAAAGAAAATCGGAAAATATCATAGGGTTCAAAAACGAACTTTAATCCAAGATTTTGAATTAATCCTAATTTCGACTAGGCCAATCTAAGATCCGCCTAGGCGAAAGTGGAATTCCACATTGGACTAGTTCAAAGTCGGATTACTGCTATTTTACAGCGTAAAACTCAATTTATTTCACAAATTGATATGGCCCATAGGTAAGCGTAAGAGTATGAGCGACGCCGAGGTTTCCCTGTCGATTGCCGACTTCAAAATGAAAATTGAGGCCGATTTCCGATTACTACGTGACTTTTACTAAAAAGCTCTAGTTTTTTACTAAAACTTAAATAAAACTTTTTCGACAATTCAGATTTTCATTTTGAAGTCGGCAATCGACAGGAAAACCTCGGCGTCGCTCATACTCTTACGCTTACCTATGGGCCATATCAATTTGTGAAATAAATTGAGTTTTACGCTGTGAAATAGCAGTAATCCGACTTTGGACTAGTCCAATGTGGAATTCCACTTTCACCTAGGCGGATCTTAGATTGGCCTGAATCTCACATTGGACGCCAACATATATATATATGTACGCGAGTGGACAATGCCAAATGACAGGATAGGAAAAGACCATCATGACGCATAACATATGTGGATTGTTCCACTATCAGACAGTTTAACAAGATCACTTCAATAAATATTTATTCACTTTTCTGAAAGAAAGGGTTATAGCGACATAAATACAGTCGTGAAAATGCATAAAGTTTGTTTGTTTGCATAATCCAATCAGATTGCAGCATATTACGAATCAATGAAATTTATCCATAATCATCAAAGATTGACCACTGATGAGATAACCGAGGTCGAGGATTACGAAGCTGAGGTTACTTTTTCGAAATTCCAATTACCTAATTACTAATTAAAGAATGAAAATCTTTTTAGTTGTCGAGTAAGGGTTGACCGAAGGGTAACCAAGGTCGAAGATAGCGAATCTGGTGTTATTTTTCTGTAGAAAAATTCTGTTCTGTTTTTTCAGAAAAAGTACGATTTTTTGCAAGGAAGATTTTTGATTGTAAATAGTGGGAAGAGAGTCGATTAGTAAATCTTCAGAAACAGTGTTCCTTTTGCTCACGTCTTTGGACAAATAAATTGAAACCAGTTTGGCATGAATAAAGTAGAAAAGGATTAAAAGAAAAGAATGTGCATAAAAGTGGCTTTAATTCGAAGCGCGTTAGAGTGAGATATACGTTAGAGTCTTTATCTGAGTCTTGTAATTCTTTCAGAACAGGTTCAGCGAATCCAACAGATGAGCGCTACTTGTTGGTAGTAGCAAACGAAACAATTAAGTTTATTTTTCACTCAGATTGGCAAACACATTCAGCGAAAACTAATTTACAATAAAGGAAAATATGCATTATATGATCTTTCAAGCCAACAGATATAAGTAATATCAGTTGTTCCAATCTCAAGTGAGGTAAGGTGATGCTATTGAACGATTTCATTCGACTGAATTACTACCAGATGATTTCTCCACATTATTTGACTGCGGAGTAGTATTCCAAATACAAAAGGTTTTTTACCAATGGAAAAGCTTTAGCTATTCTAAGAGAAAACATATTCAAATGACGTCCAGTCAGCTACATATAGCTCAATAACGTAATTGAACACGGTATTTGTAAGTATATTGTCAATAAATCAAAGCTTTCCAAAGTCAAAGGGTAACGTATATACACGATATGTGATTGAGAAACTACGGGTAATAACACCTGATATTTCGTGATATCCAATATTCATGAAGTTTCATTTATAAGATGTATTGGATTCATCCCATGTTGTATGTTTTTAACCCACTCAGAACAGACGACGTATGTATTCGTCTGGGTTGAAATAATTCATAATTTATTTCCGTACACTATTCACGATATTTTGATGATCTATGTCGCTATATATATCGTTAATGCATTATACTATCATTCGTATAGTGACCTCTTTCATCTTTTTTCTTTTTTGTAGTTATATTCATTACTTCTAATTTTTCGCTATGTCATAGTCCATTGCTATCATTTATCGTCTATTTTTATTTATCTTCGCAGACATTGTCTCTTGCGTCCACCAGAGTGTGTAAAGTCTTGTTTGCTCTATTAAAAATAATCCTGTTCCCAAAGGGGTTAATGCTACCAGTGAAATCAAACCGTCGAAAATAGTTTTAGTAAGAGGGACTATGAATGCGCATCAATTAAGGAATAGTATAGATTTTCAGGCAAATCACATAGGCAATCTGTATTTCAGCAAAGGAAAACCGATGCTTAAGTACTAGAACAAGGTAGTTCCATTCGTTTCATAATTTATTGCAGAGAGCATAGAGTAAAATATAATGAAACCGATATAACATAGCATGCTTTACATAAAATACTATCCTCCACAGCCAAATAATACATCAAGTACTAGTTTTGCCATTCGTTGTAACTGCTCGCATTTGTATATCACAGTTATTATATTGTAAAAAACTAATCGGAAGTTAGCTGATAGCAGGACTATGGATGTTTTAAAGTTAGATACTACAGCGTTCTTGTAGATTTCATAATTATCGTTAAAACCACCTGTTTAGGGATATTAAAAAGCGGTTTAACTTTTCCAATAAGCTAAACGTCTCGTTTTCTAAGAGAATCGATAAAATTTGGTGTTTCGAAGGTTTTCCACGTTTTCTTATTTATTAAAATACCATAGGGTAATTAATTCATCAAAATGAATTGGCAGCAAATTGTTAGAGCACCTCGATGAGAGAGCTGTCATTCTATTTATATGACAGATAATGAATGTTCTAACTCACCCTTCAACACAAAAGCCAGATACGCAGCTTAGGGATAGCAATTTAACTTAACTTTAATGGTCTAGTTAACGTCACCTCTGCGGTAAACCGTAGCTCAATTTGATAGTTTTTGGCTTTAAAAAGAAATAAAAGATCATGTGACTGTTTTTTTCAGGTTGAGAAACAATCATTTTTTGTTTTTGTTTTATCTATCATCGAATAAGATTTGAAAAAATGAAACAAACACGCTGAGGGATGCTGCATGAAGCTCTATCAGCAAACTATATCATCCAACTTATTATAATCATCTGTTTGTTTTTAACTGAAAAAACGTCAAATGTTGCAAAACAATCAGTGAAAACTGACTGGGTAACATTTAGTGTTCTCGAAGGCAAAACATACATATAATTAAGATGAATCTCTAATCTAAGCTGTAGAGTTTTTCATATTTCATTACAACTTTTAGTTAAAAAAATTAATTTAGAGATGTTAATTCCTTTTGATGGAAATAGAATCGGTTTCCAAAGGAGCCAAAATCATAAAAGATGTCCTGTTTTCAATTTTTTAATTTACCACTGTATCTGTGAAAACAGAATTCAATGAGCATGCGTATTCTAACGCCACCTTTCTGCGCACGCCAACAATTCGTAGGTATTGAAATGGTTACACGTCATTTGTTTTCGTCAGAAACATATATAAATACATCACCACCATGAGTTACTACTAATAACGAACAAAGTAAAACATTTTTCATCGCTTCCAGTCTCCACGGTACGGTCTGTTGCACGACTGAAATACAACATGCACACATTTTCAACATTACCCGTCGAACTAGTTTATCGAATTATGGATCATCAAAATGGCCGGACGCTATTTTGTTCAATGCAAAATATTTGTCGACGGCTCAATCAGATCCTGAGTACTTACCAGCGATATCAAGTAAGTTTACTTGGTATCCTAACATTCTTCTAGACTGTGCTATACATAAGCTTCATGGTATTTGATGTCGTAGATTCCGTCGTAGGAAAACCCAAACTAATTTCATAATTCACAAACGATATCCTAGGATGAGACAACCACAGCCAGAAGTCATATGAAATCAAGCATTCCATCACTCTCTCCCTTTTATTTTATGTACGTTGAGGATGCATTCTTCCGATACGCGACCATGAACGAGCAAAACGCTTACTTATGCGTTACCGCTTCTGCGTTGCACTACTCGATACAAAAATTGCATCACTTACAACTTTTGACAGAACTCATCTACTAAAGCCAAAAACACTGTACTCTTGCTTCACCAATGCCAATCTTCATTCTCACCACGGGTACATCAAGTCCCGCTCCTACATTTCAGACTATTAGGACCTGAATTTCACTGCGGCGCGTCTTCAAAAGAGAAATCTCATTAACACCAACAAATATTGAAACTTATCTACTACTCTTTCCGATTCCGTCCTATCACAGTTGTCTCCAGTCTCGATTTTCGACACAGCACTTCTTTCCGCAACAACAGCTAACATCATCATCCACTCAAATAATTCACATCTACATCCAACTCCTCCTTAACCCTTTACGGCCGGATGGTACCTACCGGTAACAATTTTCCCGTAGGGGGGTACGGCATTCTCCAAAAATTCGGGGCTGAAAAACTGATCCCCATAACTAAACTAACAAGAATATATATAAAGATAATCTTTTGCTTGCTGTTTTCTGGTAGCCGGCCGTAAAGGGTTAAAAATCGGCCCCAAAGATAACTATTTTAAATCCCATCCACATCATCAGAAGTGCCATCTGTAACGACAAATTGGCTGAGTAGCTTACCGCTTCTCACGGTATATATGTTTATTCACTACTCTACATAACCAGAAAGCGTCTACATCACAATAAGTCACACGCTTATATGGAGAACACAGAATGAGAGAGATGACCCGGAGATAGTATGATATAGAGGTAAGTGAATAAAGAACAGAAAGAGATGAACGACATCATTATACTTACACCATCAAAGGTTTTCTTTACTACTTCCGCTTTTCATTACCTTTTACTTCAATCCAGACACTCACCACACTAGACCTCAGTTGGAAAGGAATCGGTGCTGAAGGAGCACAACACATTCCTAGTGCGCTGCGACCGAATAAGATAATATTGATTTCATTTCATAGAAGATGAAGCACTCAGTCTATATCACACCTACAGACACTCACCACACTAGACCTCGGCTTCAAACAAATCGGTGCTGAAGGAGCACAACAAATTGCGGATGCGCTCCGAACAAATACGGTAATATTCATCTCATTTGATTAGAGATGAAGCACTCAGTCTATATCACACCTACAGACACTCACTACACTAGACATCAGTGGGAACCGAATCGGTGCTGAAGGAACACAACACATTGCGGATGCGCTGCGAACGAATGCGGTAATATTCATCTCATTTGATTAGAGATGAAGCACTCAATCTGTCTCACACCTACAGACACTCACTACACTTCACCTCTGGCGGAACGAAATCGGTGTTGAAGGAGCACAACACATTGCTAGTGCGCTGCGAACGAATACGGTAATATTGATATCATTTCATAGAAGATGAAGCACTCAGTCTATCTCACACCTACAGACACTCACAACACTAGACATCAGTAGGAACCGAATCGGTGCTGCAGGAGCACAACACATTGCGGATGCGCTGCGAACGAATACGGTAATATTGATATGATTTCATAGAAGATGAAGCACTCAGTCTATATCACACCTACAGACACTCACCACACTTCACCTCGAGGAGAACGGAATCAGTGTTGAAGGAGCGCAGCACATTGCGGATGCGCTACGAACGAATACGGTAATATTGATATGATTTCATAGAAGATGAAGCACTCAGTCTATATCACACCTACAGACACTCACCGCACTAGACCTCAGTTTGAACGAGATCGATGCTGCAGGAGCACAACACATTGCGGATGCGTTGCGAACGAATACAGTAATATTGATATGATTTCATAGAAGATGAAGCACTCAGTCTATATCACACCTACAGACACTCACCACACTAGACCTCGGCTTCAACCAAATCGGTGCTGAAGGAGCACAACACATTGCGGATGCGCTGCGAACGAATACGGTAATATTGATCTCATTTCATAGAAGATGAAGCACTCAGCCTATAGCACACTTACAGACACTCACCACACTTCACCTCAGTTGGAACCAAATCGGTACTGAAGGAGCACAACACATTGCTAGTGCGCTGCGAACGAATACAGTAATATTGATCTCATTTCATAGAAGATGAAGCAGTCAATCTATCTCACACCTACAGACACTCACTACACTAGACATCAGTGGGAACCAAATCGGTGCTGCAAGAGCACAACAGATTGCGGATGCGCTGCGAACGAATACAGTAATATTGATCTAATTTCATAGAAGATGAAGCACTCAGTCTATCTCACACTTACAGACACTCACCACACTTCACCTCGAGGAGAACGGAATCAGTGTTGAAGGAGCGCAGCACATTGCGGATGCGCTACGAACGAATACGGTAATATTGATCTCATTTCATAGAAGATGAAGCACTCAGTCTATCTCACACTTACAGACACTCACCACACTTCACCTCGAGGAGAACGGAATCAGTGTTGAAGGAGCGAAACACATTGCTAATGCGTTGCGAACAAATACGGTAATATTGATTTCATTTCGTTGAAGATGAAGCACTCAGCCTATAGCACACTTACAGACACTCACCACACTTCACCTCAGTTGGAACCAAATCGGTACTGAAGGAGCGAAACACATTGCTAATGCGCTGCGAACGAATACGGTAATATTCATCTAATCTCATCGAAGATGAAGCACTCAGTCTATATCACACCTACAGACACTCACCACACTTCACCTAGTTGAGAACGGAATTGGTGCTGAAGGAGCAGAGCACATTGCGGATGCGCTACGAACGAATACGGTAATATTGATATCATTTCATAGAAGATGAAGCACTCAGTCTATCTCACACTTACAGACACTCACCACACTTCACCTCGGGGAGAACGGAATCAGTGTTGAAGGAGCGCAACACATTGCTAATGCGTTGCGAACAAATACGGTAATATTGATGTCATTTCGTCGAAGATGAAGCACTCAGCCTATAGCACACTTACAGACACTCACCACACTTAACCTCTATCGCAACGAAATCGGTGATGAAATAGCTCAACACATTGCGGATGCATTGAAAAGGAATATAGTAAGATTGATGCTGTGGTCGAAGAAGTTTGTAGTTTCTGTTTTGTCTCATTCTTAGAGCGCCAAGATGGTATAGATCTGGCTTGATATTCAGTCGGAGAACAAGTGACCGTGGATCTAATCGCTGTTTGTGTGGATCAGGTCTTCTTCGATTGAGAACTTAGTAGATATCATTTGTTGTGTGGTCTTGTTGACATTTATGAGTAATAAAGGTGTAGATAGCGAATGTTGTTGTAAGAAGTGAATGTTACCTGAATGGTGACGCCTTTTTTCCCTGAGAAATTCATGTGCATCGGTGAAAATGAATGGTTTAGTTACGAAGGTATAACGGAGTAGTGTTTTGTAGAAGAGACGCCATAGTGCGGTGCGTTTATGAGTGATCCTCTCGGTTTAGAGTTTGTTTCTGAGAGGGTATGATGGACAAGACAACATTACTGTAGACAGCTCAACTATATTGGAGATGTAGAAGAATGGGATCGATGATAGTACAGCACGTGCGCAGTTCAGATGTTATTTCTACTAATGCCAATGTGATCAGGGTGTGGTACACTGAATGGCAGCGATTCTACATTATAAGAAAGCTGTTGCATGTTTTATTCCAAAGCCAAAATGTATTGATTGTTTGATGAGGAGATTTTATTTCTTTTTGTGGTGCATTTTTGGAGAGAGTAGTATTCTTCCGTTATGTATGAGTTCTACGGTGCGTTTGAAAGAAACACTGTTATAAGCTGACTAGAATGACGTAGGGAAGAGAGAATAATTATAAAATAGCACACCTAATCGTTCTGTTAGATTAATCATTTCCCACCATCAGCGTAGTCTGAAAACAAATTATTTTGTCGAATATGATCAGCACTATTCACTCTTGGTGCTTATCCATGTTAAAATATCAGGGAAGTGTTTTTGCAGTACTTTATCGTGGAAAGAGTTTTGCAATAAATTTTCGAGCTCGTTTGTATATCATTCTGATAACAGGACATTGTGTTTATAGTTTGCTTAAATGGAACATCTCGACACTGTTTGAAACGCTCTGAAGTTTGAAGTCGTATGAAATTTAATGATAGGGGCCTATTGTACCCTTGCTCTGAGATCTATCTTTTGAATGATGACAAAGCTAAAAACGCTCAGCTGTGCGTAATTCAACATCATAGTCTGTGCGCTAAGATATGACATATACATTCGTAGTGTTCTTTAACATTACACTGTAAGAGGACGTACATTTCATAGGGTTTAGATACTTGTCTTTGAGTTCTCTGTACGTATCGGTGATTGAAAACTCGCACGAGATGATGATCATTGAACAGAAGTGGATTTTGGCTATCTGGAGCCGCCGGAGACTGAATTTATACATGTAGTATTACTACGTTTAGAGGTGGATCTAAAATGGTATGTATATAGCCCACCTGTTTGCAAAGAGTTAACAGCACTTGGTCAAAATACACTCATATAAATCGAGTGGACTGAAAGTATGCAAAGGATCATCATCTAAATACAGATATTCTTACTTTTAATCGAGGTATTTGCGCATATTTAGTCTCTGTTTGTTTACAAATGAGTACCAACAACGAATACAACTGTGTAGTAATAGTCTGTATGTGTTGTAGGTAAACAATAGAATATGCAACAACCAGCAATATTATTCACGAAGTCTGATATAATGCTATCGACAGGATTTGTATATATGAATATATAAATCAGTCGAAGATGAGCGTGTCCGTGGTCAAAGAAAGAAAATATGTGCATTTTGTTTTCAGTAAATAAAATCGCGCCGTACGATACTGA